TCAAGCTGAAGATTTTTTTCTCTTTAGGTTTAACTAAAGGTCAGTGATAAAACCGATTGGAAAGCAAAGGACAACTCTATAAAATGTGTATTTTTTTTTCTTCTTGATTCTTGGGTTCATTTTTGCTATGCACTTTTCCTTAGAGGTATTTCTTTTTAGAGAAAATAAGGAAATAAATATTTCAAGAGGAGATAAGGAGAAGGATGCACCAAACAGGGTTAATTTGAAAGGAGTTGACATGGAAAGAAAGCCAAAGAATTATTTGCTGGTAGTGAAGATATAAATAAGATGAAAGATTGGCTACCTGCAAGAATTTATTTCTTAAAGACCACAAGCTAAAGTTTGTGTTTTTTTTTATTCTCTTATCCCTTAAGACAGCCATATTTTACCATTTTGCACATAAATAAAAATGACTTCCAGGCTTATTTGATTACAGCTTGAATTACCCTGTCACAAGATGACAAGCAATGACAAATAAGTTCCCCATAATGAAAAGTCTGGCAGACCCAGTATTCTCAGTCCAAGGTGGTAAGAGGAAACCTAGCAGATTTTTCTTTCATTTGGTCTCTTTTACATATTGGCTATAGTACTGTCAGTCTCTATTATATCATTAGGTCACCTGGAAGGTCTTACATTTGGCAGATCAATGTAAGTTTCAGGATCATTTTTCTGTCAGCCCAAGGCTAATGTAGCAAAGTTTGAATGATCAATTAAATTAGAGGAAAGGCTTGAGTTAACATAAATGTACTTTGCCTACTTGTCAACATGGGTAGACATACCTTAAATGACAGAATTCAATTTTCAGATTCCAGACTTTTTAACAGAGCAATAGCAAATCATCAGATTCATGGGTTTTGCTTCTTTATTAGTTTTTAAAAATGTTGACAGTCTTTCTGTACATTGCAATTACTCCAAACCCACCTTGACTTTATGCATTAGTAAATTGCATGGGAACTGTTTCTAAAAACAACTCATTCCTGGAGATGGAGAAGACAGTGTGAGGATTGCATATCATGGCATGGGATTCTTCAAGGTAAAAGACAATCTTAATTGTATTTGTGCTCTCTTGTCTGAATTAATGAACATATAAAGCTGTGAGTTAACAAAGACATTTCTTTAGAGAGGAAGATGAGGAAACTGAATTCCAGTGCAGTCCAACTGATGGTCAGTGTGAAGTAGTTAAACTTGAATAGTTTGGAAGTGGAAGTATCAAAAATGAAAGGAGCATTTTTGCTGTATTTAAATAGAAGTTTCCATTATGCAATATTTTTAGTTTAGACTCAAAAAAGTAAATGCCTTTTTCTGCAGAAAGAGGAAAGTTTAAATTTGTTCCTTTTTTGCCATATGTTGCATGAAAAAAAAATCACAAATGTCAGTTAGAACACAGGCTAGAAAGAGCAGAATAGTTATAAGGGCCAGAGTGATTCCCATTTGCAGCTCAACAATAAATTAACATTCAATATTTAATCAGCATGTTAGAGAGGAGGAAAGCTGTATAAAATAAGTATTTAAACTTTACCTTGAAGTGCTTGTGTCTCCAGGCCTTCAGGTTTATTTCATTCCTGGGTCTTTGAACATGCTATTTCATTTGTCTGGAAGTTCTGTTCCTTAGGACTTATATTAGGGGTCAACTCCTAAATTCTTCTCCGTGTTCCTGGAGCTCCTTCAAATACTCTAGCAGCATATTACATTTTCCTGTATTTCTTATTTTGCTTTTACTCCAACCAGAATTCAAGCACATTAAGGTATATATTATGTTTTGGTTGTAACAACTTTTCCAGTTTCTAGCATACCACTTGGCAATAGAGATAATAAACAAGTGTTTATTAAATAGATGTGCTAATTAAAGCAAAATATGAAACTCCATAACAAGAATATATAATCAAAGAAATGAAGATCCGAATACAGGTGAAGGGACACAGCCATCATTGATTATTTGATGTGTAGTGTAGGATAAGAAAGTAGAAAAAGCTAAAGCTAAAAATCTTCCACATTCATATATTCTGTTTTTACATTTATTACAATTGACAAAAATGTCAGATTTTAATCTAAAATTATTGCCATCACTAATACATTAGAATCCATCTCTTTTGGCTACCTAAGTACTACCTAAGTACCTTTTTAAATTCATATTTATTGTTACAATGAAGTTGTACATAATATCTTTGATTTTATAACAATATTGAAACTATGTCAAACTATTTGATTCCCTTTTTTCTTTATTATTTTCTCCAGGACTATATCAATTTTATGAGTCTTTTGAAAGAATCAACCTTTCACTTTAATTCTTTCTATTGTGCTTGTTATTATTAATTTTGGTATTTGTTTTCTTCTTGTTATTTTCTTTGAATTTAATTTACTGTTATGTTTTAATTTTCTTGTGGCAGATTCTTAGAACTGTCTTTCTTCTTTCCTAACATATAAAATTAAATTTTTTCTGCTTAATTCGGCCACATCTACATGTATTGATTCACTAGTGAGTTCTACCAAACAGTTAAAGATAAACTAATACCTGTCCTTCTCAAACTCTTCCAAAAAATTGATGAAGGAATGCTTCCTAGAACATTTATAAAGCCACTGTTACTCTGCTTCCAAATGCAGACAAGGTCATCACAAAAAAGAAAACTCTGAAATAGATCCCTGATGAAATATAGCTGCAAATATCCTCAACAAAATCTTGGCTAACCAATTTCAATGGTTAAAATGATCATACATCATGACCAAGTGGGATCTATTCCAGGGATACAACACCCACAAATAAATTATCACATCAACAAAAGGAAAAGTTAAAAAAAAGCACATGTTCATATCAATAGGTGGTATTTATTTATAGAATCTCTGTTCTGTTCCATTGAACTATGTTTCTGTGCCTATAACAATGCCATACTCTTTTGACTACTATAACTTTGTAATATAGCTTGAAATCAAGGATTATGATATCCCTAGTTTTGTCCTTTTTCAGGATTGATTTGTCCATTTGAGGTCTTTTGGGGTTCCATATGAATTTGGGTTATTTGTTATATTTCTGTGAAAATATACCATTGGACTTTTGATTGGTATTGCATTGATCTATACATTGTTTTGGGTAGTATCAACATTTTAACAATATAATTCTTTCAATCCATGAGTATTTAATATCTTTCCCTTTATTTGTGCGTTCTTCATACTTTTCATAATGTCTTATAGTTTTTAATGTGTAGGTTTTTATCTCCTTGGTTAAATTTATTCCTATATATTTCATTATTTTTGATACAATTGTGAATGGGGTTGTTTTCTTAATTTCTCTTTCTGATAGTTCATTATGAATGTGTAGAAATGCACCTGATTTTTTAATGTTGATTTTCTCAGATGAAAAACTGAGTTATGCCATGTGACATTTGTACTTATTATTTTCCAATTTTGTCAGTTAAGGTTGGTCTTTGGCTTCTCAGATTCTCAGCTTAGGGAACAGAAAATCAACCACTTGCCAGGAATGTAACTTTGATCTGGTCCCTTTATTTTCTTAGTCTAGAGTGTCTTTATCTGTAAATTGTAAGGATTGTACTAACTACAATATTTTATACAGAGATCATCCTGAATTAACCAGTTCAGAGAAGATGCAAAGCATTTAGAGTCTGTCTTGACTTTATTTCTCCATTTTGTAACTTTCTCTGACTGCCATCAACTTTCTTATTTTCCCTAAAGACCAGAAAAAGAAAACCTAGTGGAGTGTGGGCAACAAATGATTGTATTTAAGTTCTCAATACATATATAATTCTTTCTTTGATTCAAAACTACTTTTTTATTGAATTACAAGCTGTCAGGACTTGAGTATAACAAAAATTTCTGCACTTTAATCATTTAAAATGGCTTTTTCTAGTACAATATTTTATTTCAGTTTTTCAGGAAACTTATGAGGCAATAATCATTACAGTCATATTATAATAAGATAATAGTCTCAGTAAAATATCTTATCCAAGACTTCACTCTGCAGGTTAACTCCAAATATATCACTTTTTTCATATCACATACCATGAATAAAAAAAAGAGAAACTGCCATTGATTTATCTGATAATGTTTATCACAGAGAGGAGGAAAATAAATAAGGTAATGGAGTAGTTTTCTTCAGACAATATTCAGAGATTTTTATTGAGCTTTCTTAATCATAACATCAAATAGCCTTTTCTTTGATAAGAATGTTAGAACCAGGAAAGAAATAATAGATTCATTTTTTCTTCAGAAGAGCATGAGTGGAAATATGGAGATATTCCATTTTAATAACTTCGTAACTTTTCTTTATCTAGTTTTATTTTCAAAGTATGAATCAGACCCCCTTTTTTTCCACACCGATGAATGATGATTTGTTGATTTTATTTTTAATGTGGAAAACTTCTTAGTAGAATGTGCCATTTTATATAATATCTTCATGGATCATATTTAAGAGAATTTGGGAGAAATCTTAAAAATTAATCTAACATTCTTTCAACATGTTTACTCTTAATCTACATAATGACCACTATGGACAAAATATATTTTGTTGGGTTTTTTCTAAATAACATTTTCCCTTATTATTATATGTTAGATATATAAAGAAAATTTAATCTGAGCAAAAAAGAAAAAGTAAGATTATATTGTTCCTTTATACTAGAGAAAACAACCATTAACATTGTGATGAATATCCAATTATATGTAAACTATATATATTTTCCAAAAATGGAACCCACCGGTACATACTGCATTTTAAATTTTTTATTCACTTAAAAATGTGTTTGATTTCTTCCTAAGTAATTACCATTTTCCTTCAATGTTTTGTTTTTGTTTTTGTTTTTGCTTTATGTACACATAGCAATACCCTTCTTCTACAATATCAGTCTGTCTTGTCAAGTGAGGTAATTACTATTGTGAATTTTCTGTTTTATTCTCTTTCCTACTTTTCAAAAAGTACTTTCATGTTAATACACTCAAAAAAAGTGCATAAAATAAAATGAGCAACTTAATGTGTTATTTTTAAATAATCTCACCTGCAAACATCATATGTAAACACTATCCAAATGCATCTTGTTTAACCTCTTGTTCTCCGGTGAATATGGATTCAAGCCATTCACCTTCGGTACCTAAGGAAAGAGGGCTGTTTAGAGAAAGACTCTCGTAAAGGAGTTTGAAAAATAATTTTCAAAAGTGTATGTGAGAAGTTAAGGAGAGAATACTGTCAATCTGGAATACAAAATAGATTAAAAACATGGATGATAATAAGAGGAAGTCTCAAATTCCTCCCAAAAAATCTAGCAAGAGGAAGGTAGAAGCTTGTTTACTGAACTTGAAAATTACCAGGACATTTTTGAGATTATTGCGGGTTAGTTTTGGTGGAGTAAATTAAGGGAGATCATCATATCGAACTGGAGTAGATGGAAGGAAATTCCATTTTCTTTTAAGTAGCTTAGCAGAGAAAGAAACCTCAGGCAGTGTTTAAACAGGACTATTTCATCACAGTAGTTTAGGGCTGCTTCATTTGTTTGTTTTTAAGAAAATAAAGATTTAAGTATTTTTATAATGGGGTGGAGCAAGGAGTAACGAGTAGTAAAGTGTTGCAGGACATAACCAGAGCGCAGTGCTGGAGGGGACAGAACTGCATCATCAAGAATGGAAGCGGATTCCATTCTGATCTCTTCAGAGTAGAGTGAAGGAGGAACAATAGAATATGGATGATGAAGCTCTGTTGGAAGCTGAAGACTTTTCCTACTTGTTATCCATTTTCTCCACAAAATAATTTCTTTTTTTTAAATTTATTTATTTATGCATACAAGAGCTGGGGTGCAGGCCAGAGATGCAGGGAGTGAGAGGATTCACTAGAGACAGAGTGGGGAACAGAACAGGCAAACTGACTGAAATACACTGCTGAGGGGAGCAGCGGATGAGTCAGGAGAGGTCTGCTGTGCCATGAGAGTAGCTCCCTGGCTGGCCGGGGATCTATCTTGTGCTGCAGTGGCTGCAGATAGCCTCACAGTGCTGTGCCTCTTGCGCCACTGGAGAGACCCACTGTGAAATAATTTCCTAACGTTGACAAGGACAGCCTCAGCATTTGGGGATATTTTAGGAGAATGGAAGATGGTTTAATAGAGATAATGTAAAAGAGTGAAAGGCAGGTGTTAAAAAACTATGTGAAGTTGGAAAACATGCACTGATATTTACCCCAGGGCACAGACTGGATGACTTTTTTTCCTGCAGCTCTTAAATGGACCAGTGTAGGGAAATGTGGATTTCCCCCCTCATATTGGGACATTAGGCCAAGTAGGCAAGAGATTCAGGGAGTTTTAGTTTCCACATAAGTCATGGAGTATAAGTCATGAAAGAATTGAGGCCAGAAGTATATGAGGAGAGGGAAGCTCAAGACACTTCAGGTCTGTGTGTAGTCAAAAATCCAAGCAGCCTGAGAAAAATGATGGAACTACTGGAAGCAGGTGAGCAAGCTGGTGGGGAGAGTCCAGGATATATGCATTTAAGTTTTCACATGTGAGCAGATAAGGTTATTGCTATGACTACATATGGAAAAGTATATATTGAAAATCTTTCTCAAATATTGTTTTAAAACAGTTTTTTAAGAGGAAATAGGCTAAAGTTATATTTAAAACTACGAGGCACTGATTGATACATATAGGTCTAGGATACGTGTACTTCAAATAATTATGTTATGAACAAACTGTAACTGATTTTAGAATAGTAAAGAATAAAAAACTTAGGCATCAAGATTAGTTTCACTAATTTTAGGGAGCATTTTCTAGACTCTCCAACAAATCTCTGGAGTAGTGTTGTGGGAGGCTGTGTGTGGCTGTGTGTGGCTGTGTGCTGCATGCATAGAACAGAAAGGAAGAAGGAGATGCAATTTTTGAAATTGCTTATTCAAGTTAACTACTGAGATATTTACTGACCTGGCACCATTCTTTCAATTTCCTCTCCCTTCTTCCTGTGTTGTAGTGAGGCATGCACCCTAGAAGGAAGGGCAGAAGCTATTAGTAATGTGTCATGAAAAGAAATTGATCTCTTTTTGAAATTTTAAAAATGCATCATGCTCAAGAGCGCTTTGGTACTTTACTGAGATGGAAAGGCTCAATTATTTATTTATATGAGTTCAGAACTAGGTAAGGTCAATCAAAGAAATTTCTACTATGGTCTAGGGGTGATTTAAAAATAGGAAACTAAGAATGCTAGAAAGAATTATTTCATGTAAATCTTCTTGTTCTCATGTCTCTTTAACTAACTTCACTCTAACTATCAGGTATTTGATTCTGTCTCTTTAGTAAAAATAGAAAACATGGCAAGTGTAAAGTGTTAACTACAGATATTTATTATGATGAATTATATAGATGATGGAGTCTAGATCTAAGATCAAATAGATATTGTTAAGTAGTGACCTTTTGAGATTTTGTATGTATGCCTTGGCATTTTCACTGTTTTATCTAGTTAGAGTATTTTTTAACCATAGTAATGTAATTTATTAAAGGCTGATGCAGCCCTGACATTTTAATTTTTGAACTAGAAGCCCACATTAAACATGTATTGACTGTGCTTCCTGCTTGTCTCTCTGCTCTCTTTATTTCATTCTTTCCCCTTCTTTCTTTCTTATTTTTGAATTAGACCAGAGAATGAGACCATAGTTTCCATATGGAGCTGACTCTAAGGACAGAGTTTAGAACCTGCATAAGGAACAGGGCCAGGGGATGAAGCCCAAGTGAGAAAGGTGGTCATCGGGAGGAATAGCCTACTGGGGTTCAGAAATTATCTATTTATGGGCCTTCCCTGGTGGCGCAGTGGTTGAGTGCTGGGCTGTGAGCTGCCCACAGCCTTGCAGCACTGGTTCGATCCTCAGCCGCTGGCAAGGATCCCACATGGCGCACAGACCTCTCCTGCCACGCCCACTGCTCCCCTCAGCAGTGTATTTCGTCAGTCTGCCTGTTTTGTTCCCGGCTCTGGCTCTGGTGAATCCTCTCACCCTCCCACGCTTCTGACTGTACCCAGTTTGTATAAATAAATAAATAGATCTTAAAAAAAAGAAAAGAAATTGACTATTTCGGGGCTATTGCTTAAATAGGTAACTATAGTCAGAACAAGAGGAACACATTTTCTCATTTCCAAAGAAGTTGTAAATATGGAAAGATAGGAGTTAGCATAAATATGTTTTGATGCATTAGAATTGAAGGTATTAAAATAGATAATTTTCAATATGTATGGGTAGGTATGGAAAGAAATGGATATGTTTATGTGTATTCCCCCCCTGCCCCCAACTTGGTCCACTGAAAAGGTCTGGTTGCAATGACACTTCAGTCACAGTCCCATAGATAGGGTCAGACCTTGGTTTCTAAGTATTCTTCACTAAAGGAAACCAGAGCTTCTTAGAGAAATAGCCTCCTGGAGATACAGCTGATACAAAATGAACAGAAAATGTCTCAATTTCCTATAAAGCTTCATCATGCACATTCTATTGTGCCTCCTTTACTCCACTCTGAAGAGAAGTGTGATGGAGAGCTGATTTTATTTAGTTAACATGCCCATATGTAGCTTTTACTTTGTGTGTGTTGGACAATTCTAATAACTTGTTTAATGCACCTAACAAACCTAAAAATAAGGTATAATTATTTTCCTCGTTTCAAAGGTAAGGAATTGTGGTGCTGAGAAATTAAGGTAGGTTAAGTGACCTACCCAGCATCACATAACTGGAACAGGCAGGGCCAGGACTCAAATGCAAGCATTCTAGCTTCTCGGTGGATGTTCTTCACTCTGTGTTGTCACGTACACCTTTCCATAATTATGCATCTCTTCACTTAAATTCCTAACTAACAGAACTACTGCAGGTTTACTATAGCAAATCAATTCTGGCTAAGGCTTTAATTCCTTTAATGGGAACAATAGACTTTAATAAATTTAGTCCTTCCACTTTTCAAATTTTTGAGTGAGTTCATTTGTTATACTGAGTCATTCTATGCTGTGAGAGCTTTTTGGGTAATGATTCTTTTAGCATTAAGTTATTGTTATGACAGTATCATTAACTAACATCAATACTGTAGAAGTTTTAGGGGTATGGGTTCACACCCATTCAGATGTATATTACCACACCACACCCACCATCAAAGTACCAACAATCTCACCATACTCCATCAGACTCACCCCTTTGCTCTCATTCCTACCCTATCCATTTTTTGGACCATACACTCTCTGCAGCATCTATATAATTTGTCCATCTTCTTCAAAGACAAATTTATTGCAAGTACATTTAACTGTAGCAACCTCATTTTCTACTGCCTCCTCAATTATCTCTGCTATGGGTTTTTTGGGACATGAGTTCTCTTCCACTCATCTCTAAAACATTACTGAGATTTCTAAAAGGTCAAACCCATTGGGCTCACTCCATTCAACCTCTCTTTGGCTTTTTACTTTATCAACAACATGATCTTTCTGAAGTTTTTATAGATTTTATCACACAACTTACTCTTGCTTCTCTTTCTAACTGATTCTTGATGAGTAAAGATTTGTTAACACCGGTTTTTGTCCTTAACCCTAGAGCGTCAGTTGTCACATGTGTACTAAGACTCCCAAATCCACAGATCGAGAGTCAGTATTCCTTCTTGTGCACTCAGATGACAAAGTGCCTAATAAACACCTTTTCCAGGTTGTTTCACAAGACCTTTAAATTTGTATGTGAAAATCTTAATGATTATTTCCCATCTTCAGTGATGGAATGAGTGCCCACACTCAGACCTTCATGACGTTTGATGTGTTGAGTTATACCTTTTCTTGCTGCCATCCAAAACAAATCTTTCCCACAAAATATAAAAAAAATACAAACTCACTATACTGAAAATTGAGTGACATTAAATTTACTGTCAAATGTGGTAGGTTTCCTTTTTAACCTATTACAATTTGACTGCATAAGAATGAAATACTTACTCACTTATCCATCCATATTTTATTTCCACAATAGAGAATGTTTGACCACGTAAGTGCACTTTTTATCATCCTTTTGCCATTGTCTGGCTCTTGAATTAAAAAAAAAAAAAGGAAAATTCTAAATAAAAAACTTGGCAGTTATTCTTCTATTGTACAATGGGTTTTTGTGGACAGGCAAAAGATTCTTCATCATTCATGCATCTCTCTCTCTCGATTCTTCATCATTCATGCATCTCTCTCTGTCTGTCTGTCTCTGTTTCTCTCTCCTGACTTTCCCACTGTATCCAGTGGTTCTTCACTTTTTTAGATCCATAGTCCTGCTCTAATAATAAGACTTTTGTAGTGCTTGTTTTACTTTCCTCGAATGAAACTTATAAACATTATAAACAAAAGGCATGCATAATTAAAGATAGTCATATTGGGGCATTATACAGGGAAAAAAAAAGCATTATTGTAGGAAGATAATAATGTGTGTTGTTAATGTTCATGCATCACAGCATTAGAAGACACAGTGAATGGTTAGATACAGAATGTGATAGCTGCAAAGGCAACCTGGTTTATTGCAACTCAAATTCAGAGCAAAAGGGTGGTTGGCAATGTGGTTTTTAAAAAATGTTGAAGAATGGCTGGTAAATTTTCAAAATATTTGTATAATATCATATTCATTCAAGTAGTCCATATTCTTAGAAAATTCCCAGAAAATCTGCTGTCAATTACAATTGTGTAGGCAATATTTATGTTTCCATGCTCTAGGTAGACACAATTATGAAACAGTTTTTCATCTGCAGTAATATTCAGTGGGATATTCCAAATTGTGTGTTGATGTGTGATATAGAACATTTTTTCTCCTTTTTTTTTTTGGATTGCATCATTCATTTCAGGATACCTAGCAACTGTAGCACCCTTCACTTTTTTATAAGTGGTACCACCCCAATTTTTGTGACAACTAAAAACATGCTCAAATTTTCAAAATCCGCCCTTAGGGGGCGGTAATACCTTTGTTGAGAAATTTTGATCTAAAATAAGCCTGAGAAGTTTATTATACCCAGGAAGGACTATTATAAGTTCTAACTTTGGTTTAAAAAAGCAAGCAAATATAAACATATCCATACTAATAGAGAACAGCTTGAGAAGCTCCTAGGAAAAAAAAATTAACCATCTGAACTAACTGTACTCCCACTATCAGTCTGTCTAAACTCAATTTTCAGAATTGGTTCTTTCTTGTTTTGAAGTTGAAAATGATCGTCTTCAAAATCTCTAAAAGCTGATTGTACCAAAATTTTGTAACTGTTATGGGAGAATTTGTCCTAACAAAACAAACATTTTTGAGGGAAACAAAAACGTTTTATTTATAAATGCAGTATCTTTATTTTGTAGTAGTAGTTACTGTAAATAAGTTTATGTCTTTTATATTATATAAAATTTTAGAACAATTTTTTGAATTCCAAAAATGTTGTTAATTTTGTTAAGAGCAAATAAAAGATTATATTAATATATGTAAAAATAATATGGAATATAAATGCTAAATGTAGTGACCAGAAAAGAGTAAATTTCACTGGAGATACATTTTGTGCAGGGAATTCTAAAGCTAAGCTAAGTGGAGAATGTCAGAAAAGATAGGACTGTATTTGAAGAATGCTCATGGAATGTGAAAATACATAAAGGTAGAAAATAGTTAATGAGTTTATACAAGTTATAGGATAAAACAATATTTTAATTATTAAAATCTAAAGAGTACATGAAATTCAATTAAATGTTCTTAAAAGGTGGACTTTTCCTTTAGTGTAGTACTTTTCATTATTTTATCAGGGAATCAAAAAATGGTCATGATGCTAACTGTTTGAACAATTTGAATTATTGACTTAGGGCTTCCATCCTGTTCTTTCACACCAGCATTTGGAAATACCCATTCCTGTAGGGATTTTTTGAAAACAGCAGGTTTTATCTGGGTATTGAAGTATAATTCAGGACACTATTCTAGAGCAGGGCAAAGTTATGTTAGTTTTCAGAAACACCAATGACTCGGTGCTGGAGTCTTGGCCAGAT